TTCATCTCTGATTTTATTAATTTGGGTCCTCTCTCACCATCTTTTGGTTAATTTAGATAAAGGTTTGTCAATCATGTTAATCATTTCAAAAAACCAACTCTTCATTGATTCTTTGCATTTTTCATTCTATTTCTTTAATTTCAACTCTGATTTTCATTATCTCTTTGTGCCTACTCTTTTTGTATTTCGTTTCCCAAGGACTTTAGGTGCATCATTAAGTTATTAACATAAGGAGTTTTTTATTCCTCTTAGGACTGCCTTCATCATGTCCCATAGATTTTGGTATGTTGTGTTTTCATTTTCATTCACTTGCAGGATTTTTATTTTATTTAAATAAATTTTTTGAATAGAATTTTTGTGTATTTCATGCAGAACATCTCAAAAATCTTAATCATCTTTATACCCCCATCCCCACCAGCACCCTCCCATATGCTCCCCACTGGAGCCCATATACTCAGTCATCCCTGTTAAGGCCTACTGTGTCAAGTCAGTGTCTCCAGATGTTCCCCAGTGAAAGTGCATCCATTGAGGTCTAGTCAGCTTATCTAGAATCCCTTGTTTTAGGAAGATTAGCTCTTCTTCACCTAGCAGCAATCAGTTGCCAATATTTCTAAAGATGAGATTGGGGTGCTGTTCATTTTCCCAGTTCTATGCTGGGTTTTTATCTGTCTGAGTTTGTACGGGACTTGTGTATGTGGACACCATTGCCATAGAATCATATGAGCAGGTTCCCAGGAGCTTGTAGGACTCTGTTTCTATATGGTCAAGCACCTCCTCCCTGGTTCTAACAATCTATCTGCCCTCTCTTCTGCAATGGTCCCTGAGCCTTGGGTAGATAAAATTTAATAAAGGAGTCCTGTGCAAAGACCAGCATTCAGCAGATTCTTGATCTCTATGCTTTGGCCATTTGTATACTTTTGTCTTCCTGGCCTTCTGTTGCATGAGAGATCTTTATTAATGAGAACTGAGATATTCATTAGTGTCCTCTTCTTTCCCCCTGTTCTATGTTCCATGAGCCTTAGGTGTAGAGGTTGCATTGTAAGTGTGTCACTTAGGCCTGGTCAATTCATAGACAATGTCCTTGTGTGATCAGTTGTGGTTCTTGGTAGTAGTCTCTGGTGCAAAATGAGCTTCTTTGATGAGTGGTGACTGGGATGTTTTTCTGTAAATATAAGGATATATATTTTGCACATAGTAAGAAATCACATTTGTCTAGAGATGTGACAGTCTTGGGGTTTTCTCTAAGATCTATGACCACTCCAGCCATGTGTATTTGGTTAGGTTTACAGTACCACACTTGAGTTTCCTCCCACTGAGTGGACTTTTAGTCCACTTTTATTTTTTTATATTTTATTTATTATTTTTATTTTATGTGCATGAGTGTATTGCCTGCATGTGTGTTAGTGCACCCATGTCGCATAATGCCCACAGAAGTCAGAAGAGGGCATTTGGATCCCCTGGAACTGGAGTTATGGATAGTTGTTAGCTGCCACGTGGGTGCTTGGATTTGAACCTGGGTCTTCTGCAAGAACAACCTTAACTGCTGAGACAGTTCTTAACTGCTGAGCCATCTCTTCAGCCCTTTACTCCACTTTTAGTAGCTGTTGATTTCCTTTCAAGATAAAAGTGCCACTACTGCACCAATGTTGTATGCTGTGCTGGCCATTGATGTGGTTATTTGGTCTTGATGTTGGTGTTGGACCACTGATTAAATTTTCCCTTGGCACCTTCATAGTGCTCTCCAAAGCTATGAGAGCTAGGCTTCAGGGGAAGTGGTTTCAGGTCAGTTGCAGGTCTATTGCTCCAAATCCTGTGTCCAACATGTGTTTTGACTTTGACAGTAGGGTCTTACCTTCAAGTTCTGGGAGGCCATCAAGGGCTATGGCAATAGCCTGTATAATTTTGGGACTCTCTTGGACCACCTTGGCCAACAACTCATGGGAGGTTTTTCCTGTCTGGCAGTTTCTTGTTACAAAGTCTTTAGCTACACATTGACTCATGTAGAGATGTATGTATGTGTAATTTGTCATTAGGTTGATGGACTAATATGATTCTCTCTGTTTTTTAAAAACTAGCTAGGCATTATTTATCCCTCTCCTCTCTCTCTCACTGTCTAACCCTTCTGCCATGGTTTCCCCATTTAAAGGTCCCTATTTTCCCCATTTCTCCCTTGATAATACCAGTCTCCAATGTCCCACCTCTCTTGAGCACCTTCTTTCCCTTTATCCCCAAGGTTCCTTGTATAACCCTCCCTCCCCCTCCCATTTAAATAGCCCCATTTTTATTTCTCCCTTTCCTGTCTTCTACTGTTCTTCTCTCTCAGAGTCTTTCTTTCCATTTACCTCCCTGGTTCCTTTTATTATGCTGGTTCCCACTTGTAGGAATTTTAAAATTTCTTTGTTGGTTTCTCCTTTGACCCGGTTTTCATTAAGTAATGTGATGTTTAGCTTCCATGAGTTTACTTTTCCTTATTTATATTGCTCATATTCAACTTTTTTCCTTTTTGGTCAGATGGAATACAAAATGTTTAGTTTGATTTTCCTAAAGTTGTTGAGACTTGCTTTGTGTCCTCCTAATAATTGATCAGTTTTGGAGAAAGTTCCATGAACAGTTCAGGTCATTTGATTTATGATGCCATTTAATTTGAGAGTTTCTCTGCATTGTTTTTGTCAGGGTGACCTGTACAATTGTGAGATAGGCTGTCACTGTATTAGAGTTAATCTGTGATTTCAGATCTAATAGTGTTTCTTTTAGGAAATTGGGTGCCTCTGTATTTGGTGCATATATGTTTAGGAGTATAATATCCTGTTTATGGATTTTTCCTTTAATGAGTATGAAATAAATGTCTTTTCCTATTTCTTCTGAGTAGTTTTGGTTTGAAGTTTATTTTGTCACATCTTGAGTAGATACCCTTGTTTTTTTCTTAGTTCTAGTTGCTTGGAATACCTGTTTCCACTCTTTTACCCTAAGGTGGTAACAGAATCCATCACTGATGGCAAGGCACATTTCTTAGAGGCAGTAAAAAGATAGATCCTGCTTTCTAATCCAATCTGTTCATTTGTCTTTTTATTGGGGAATTGAGATTTCTAATATTGAGAGCTATTATTGATCAATGTTTGTTAATTCCTGTTATATTTTTGTGGTGTTGTTTTCTTAGACCTTTTTTGGCTATCCCTTCTGAATTGTTTATTTATTCTATATGACCTCTTGGGTATGTTTAATTTTCTCTTCTGACTGAAATATTCCTTCTAGTATTTTTTGTAGATCTGGCTTAGTGGACATAAATTACTTAAATCTTATTTTATCATGAAACAATTCCCTCTCTCCTCTGATAATAATACATAGTTTTGCTGGGTTTTACTGTCTGAGCTGGAATCTGTTTTCTTTCATGACTTGTAGGGCATCAATCCAAGACCTTATGGTATCCTAGTCTCCACTGAAAAATGAGCTTTTATTCTGATGGGCCTTACTTTTATGTGTGATTTGATTTTCTTTCTTGCCAATTTCAATATTTAAAAAATTTTATTATTATTGATTTTTTTTGAGGCAGTCTCTTATTCTTTAAAACTTGGCCAATGTGGCCTTTTCTGTGCATCACACTCTGTTGTATATGGAAGCTTTACTGGTAAGAGTTGAGGGATGCATTAGTTTTCTCTCTACTCCCTGTTCAGCTATGTTCCATGAGCCTCAGGTGTAGAGGTTCAACTGTAAATGTGTCACCAGGACTGGGCATCTCTCAGACATATATTCTCTGTGTCTGACCAGTAGTTCAGTAGTAAAGTAGTGGCACTGTTACCTGGGGGGTAATAAACAGCTATCTAATTGGGCTTAAAGCCCTTTCAATGAGAGTGAACTCATGGGTGGCACTGTAAGCTCAAATATACAATGGGAGGAGAGGACATAGACTCGAGAGAAAACCCTATCTCTTTCATATCTCTAGACAAATTAAATTTTAAATGTTTCCTCTGTGATTTTAGAGTTCCTTGATTTGATATCTAATTGTCTTTTATTTGTGATTCTAGAACTAGGCAAGCCCTCATTATGTAAAGTATGTACGATTGGTCTGATGTACTTAACTGAGAAAGTTAGCTTTATAGGCAGAAATCTAGACTAAACGTGAATCAAAGAAAAAGAGTAAATCTTTAAAGAGGGTACTTCCTTTTTATATTAATCAGGTTTTTCTTTTCTTCAGTCTCCTGAGTTTAACTTTTTTTTTCTTTTTTCTTCAAAACTGACCCCTTTTGAAGTCCAGTTTAATCGAATGACACTTTTAGAACAGTGAGCCCATTCTGGTTTGGTCTTGTCTGGTCATGTAGGAGGCCAGTCTAAAACAATGGCTTTTCATGAAAATTGCTAAGAAAAATTTCATACTTACAAGACAGTTCTTCATATCAAAGTTTCTGTTTTCAGGAAAACTCCTGTGGTTTCTGTCTCCTTCTTAGACTTGGAAAAGACAGATTAGCAAATAAATAGCTGGCAAATAAGCTGAAGGGATAGAAAATAAATAATCAGAATAGTAAGGTAAATCAAATGACCTAAAAATTAATATTTATCTGTAAAGTACAATGGTCTACTTAAAATGGAACAATTGAAATAGACAATAAATCACATGGTGATTTTTTTCGAGACAGGGTCTCTCTGTAACTCCAGCTGGCCTGGAATTTACTATGTCGACGAGGTTGGCCTTCATCTTACAGAGATCTACTTGCCTTTTCCTCCTGACTGTTGGGATTAAAGGTGTGAAACACCATGCTTGGCTCATATAATGATTTCTACAAATAGATTCTTTAACATACATATTTTTTTGATTTATCATTATACCCAGGTAAAACAATTGCTGAGGATGGTATGTATGATTCAGTTTCAAGTTTCATATTTACTGTTTATAAAATATTTCACTTCAGTTTTGGGAAAACACATTATGTATTATAATTAGAATATACAGTGATAAAATCACACAGTACATACAGCACATAGCCAACTGAAATTCTAGTATATGTTGTGGTTTTATGTATCTCCAATACATTTAAGAGATTTTACTATTGTTCATAAACTGAGTGCATAGTCTTTTCATTGCCACCTTCATCTCTTTATTCCTGAGTGTGTAGATTGCTGGATTTAGAAAAGGAGTAATAACTGCATCAAAGATGGCAAGAAATTTATCCAGATGCGATGTTGGAAATGGCCAAATATAGAAGAAAATTAGTGGTCCAAAGAACAAAACAACCACTGTGACATGCGCTGACAAAGTGGAGAGGGCCTTGGATAAACTACCCAAAGATTTCTTTTGAACAGTCACCAAAATATATATGTAAGAAATGACCAGAATCAAAAAAGAGGCCACAGAAATAAACCCACTATTGGCAGTAACCATGAATCCCAACGTGTAGGTGTCTGTGCAGGCAAGTTTAATAAACCGAGGAAGGTCACAGAAAAAGCTGTCTAATTCATTAGGGCCACAGAAGGGCAAGTCTACCACAAAAGTCAACTGAGCTACAGAGTGTATGAAGCCAATGATCCAGGAAGCCACCAAAAACAAAACGCATCTTTGTGGGCTCATGATGGTCAGGTAGTGTAGAGGCTTACATATGGCAACGTATCGGTCAAAAGCCATGGCTATGAGCAGCACCATCTCAGTGCCCCCAACTGCATGGATGAAGAAAATCTGAGTGATACAGCCCCCAAAAGAGATGGTTCTGTGCTTTCTGAAAAGGTCATATATCATCTTGGGTGCTGTGGAAGAGCAAAATATCAGGTCGAGGAAGGAAAGATTGGCTAGTAGAAAGTACATAGGTGACTGCAAACGAGGGTCTGAGGTCACAGTTAGCACAATGAGTAAGTTTCCCATCACACTAGCCACATAGAATGCACAGGAGAAGAGGAAAAGGAGTAGCTGGGCTGACCATGAATTGGAGAGTCCCAGGAACACAAATTCAGACACTGCAGAGTGGTTTGTTTTATCCATTGCCTCTGTTGGCTGAGTCAGCCCACATGCTACCTGAAAGAGGAGAGTAAGAGAAACTGATTAGGACAAGCAGCCTTGATGCAACAAAATCATGGATCACTTGGAGGACTAACATGCATTTGGAGACAGTTTTAGTCATAAAGCAATTCATATTCCTCTCATATATCTTATTGCTCCAAATATATTGCAAAATTAATTTTTATCTACTTGAATAGATATATTTGTTATATATATTTTTCAAAAATATAATTTATAGGTATATCGCTCATGTGACTCTAAGCTAAAGGGTTTTTATACTTTATCTGTGAAATAGTTAATTGACAGAGGACTTCATAAGGGACTCACTGTGTGTTTTACAGAAATTGAGGGAAGCTGTGGAGGAGATTCTGACTAAGGGAAAAATGGAAGATACCAAGTAAAAGAAGGAACCATAATGAGAGAGTGAGTCATAATCCTTCATAAAGAGCAAGAGAGGAAGAGTATCAGAAGATTGTCTCATGTAAAATTCTTAATCTCATTCATAATTAAATAAATGAATATCAATTTTCTCTTTATGTAGGAATTTAAACATTTGTCAAAATTCAGGGACAATGTCTTCTGAGGTTTTACATACACTTCATGATTTGACTTAGCTTTTGTACCTCTAAGGTAAAAATTCTTGACTATGTGTGTGTTCATGTAGTAGACATATTCAGAAAGTAGACAAGAAATAATATTTTGTATTTATTTTTGCTTAAGCATTTGTTTTTAAGTACAACAGCTTGACAATACTTACCTAGTATGTTTACCAGAGGACTATGTAAATAACTTATCCTAGAATCAAATAGAATGTTCAAATAATTTATATTGGATTCATCCCATACAATATCTGGGAGGAGTTGGGGGAGGGGTGAATATGATCAAAATATATTGTATGAAGTTCTTGATTTTTTTGAAGTTCTTGAAGTTTTTGATTTATTATTTTTGTTTTATGTGCATATGTATGTAAGTGCACCCATGTTGTGCAATGTCTGTGGAGGTTAGAAAAGGGCATTGAATCACCTGGAACTGGAGTTACAGGTAGTTGTTAACCACTATGTGGATGCTGGGAGCCAAACCCCAGTCTTCTGGAAGAGCAGTCAGTGGTCCTAACCCCTGAGCCATCTCTTCAGCCTATGTATGAAGTTTTTAAAGAATTCATAAAAATATGTTTTAAAAAGAGGACATGAAGACGAGAGGAACTACATGTTGGAGGGGGGCCCAGGGGAAGTGGGAGGGAGGAGTTGGGTGATATGATCAAGATATATTTATGTAGCAATTATCAAAAAAATAAGTAAAATAATTTTTTAAATAAAGAAAATATGGCCATAAGCTTTGTGTTCTGTTTTATATTTTATTTTATTTTATTTTTTGAGAATTTCATAAATGAATATTATATTATTTCCACCCCTCCCAGTTATGTAGTCAGGTAGACGTAAAATGAGCTTAGTATAGACAGTGGGAAGGGTTGTTACCTATATTATTCTTTCTGGCTAGAACAAAAATTAGATAAATAAAATAACAGAAAATGTCTAGGTTAAAAATGATTATCTGTTAAGTGGGGTGGGATTGGAGAAAACAATGAAACAGGAGAAAACCTTGACTTTTCCATTTGTAGTTTAATATCTCAAATTTAAGTTAGGGTTTACTGATTTCTCCCTTATGATAAGATAAATGTATGTGGGCTTGACAAGATCACACTTTGTATCTTCAGAGCATTCAAAGGTATAAATGTAATCTAGTTCCCAAAGGAAGATAAAGAACAAAGCACTGACCTAAGCAGTCACTAGCTGTTCCAGTAACTCTATGCCAAGCTGCTCCCTCTTGTCTGGATTCGCTCTCATGACCCTTTCTTTCCCCTTATACACACTCATATATTTCAGTTCAAGTCTGCTCTACAAACGGTAGCCTGCACCACACTTGCCCTCACTGTATCTCTCCAATTTCCCTCTTCTCTCCAATACACCGTTATGAAAAATTCTTTTTCCCATGAAACTGTCTTTGATATTCTTTGCACAATAGAGACAGAGTTTTCACATATTTTGGTAAATAAACAAAAACTAGAAATGGCAGTAGTATCATTCTAACAGTTTATTAGTTATCATAAGTAATGTTTCTCCACTATGTTTCTTGTATGTTTCTGTTTTACAGTGCTGGTATTTGAATCTAGGGTCTCAGTACATGCAAGGCAAATACTTCTACCACTGAACTACATTCCCAGCTTCTCCTATGTATTTAAATATCTTCAAAACAGAATTTCTTATGACAGCAGTATGAGTGACAGTCTCATTCATAAAGAGCAGCCCAGCTTGAAAATGATATATTCTTTTCATAGTAATTATCATCAACAACATCCTGGCTGATGTAACTTATCCAAGAAATGATTGAATTATAAATTGTTCTGCTAGAAGCTGAACGTTTCCCCACCAATGCTTTCAATTTCTGCTCAATTTAAAACACCTTCAAAATTTTACACAAAGCTTTGTTATATTTTAAATACTTTTATTTTAATTGTCAGGTTAGCAAAGATCTAACAGTGGGTTAAGTTACTTGTGTTGGTAAACATTTGGAAAGCAGGCTTGTACATTGTTGTTGGTGGGCTGCCTAGCTAGTCTGTTTTGTCTATTCTTAAAACTCCAGTTCCCTGGGTTTCAAACTTTCTGTTTGTCCTCACTGAGGGGGGGTCTTGTTTTTAACTGAGGGGCAAAATACTAGTTTGAATCCAATCTTTAAGTGAAAACAGATTGAAACACTATAGTTAACTGAATATAGAAGGGAAATGATTTATTTAGTAAGAACCTCAGCCCCATTAGGTCTTTTCAGGGTCCTAAATCCCACAGTTGTGTTCAACACAGAGCACCTTTCTCTGCTCACAGGTCCACTGCTGAGCCCAAAACGTAACAGAAGGAAAATCCACACAGACCTTCTTCTGAGCAGTTGACTCCCTCCTATGCTCAGGTCTGCTTATCCTGTTTTGGACCTACATAAACAGGAAATAGACCATATAGCACATGAACTAGACACTATTTGAGCAAGCTGATAATGCTAGTGTTTTGTCAAAATAGATAAATGTTTTGAGTTGCTCATATAAAGACTTGTCCTTTGCTTTGTAAGCCTTTTTTCTCATTATTAACAAAGTTGTATTAAAATCAGAGTTTTAGGATAAGAGCAATATTTGCATGGAAAGATTTAAATCTGATCACCACAGATGTTTGTCCACTAATTTCTTTTTCATATGATAAATAGAAAGAGCTCAGGATATATTGAGTGTTCTAGAAGGATGATAGGGAACTGCCATTAGAGTTGCATGCTTCTAATGAGAGTTCTTATTGCAATCAAAACAGCAAAGGTGGCAGACTGCTTTTACCTGACTGAAACTTTGCTAGGGTATGTAAAGTTCTGTTATTTTAGAACTAAGGAAACACACATTTAGGGAGAGCAATGACTGATGAAGCCACAGAATAAGTTGGTAGCAGATCTACAAAGGATATGCTTGACTCTTGACCTAATTGGTCCAGATTATTTTCATTATTCTGATTCGTTTTGCTGAGATTGGCATGCATCAAAGGCATACAGTTGTAAGAAGAGAGAGTTTTCAAAGTTTCACCATAAAAAATGACAAATGTTTAATTGTTTGCTAATTACCCTAATTTGATCATTATACAAGGTGGGCATGTGTCCATCTTATTATTTGCATGGGACTCACATGGAAGACTTCTGTGAAAATGACACTTGAGTCAGTTCTACTAAATCAAACACATCATGACTTCACTCATTCCTCTCTCTTGTACATTTTAATTGATGATTAACATGCTTCAAACTTCTATGCCAGATTTGTTTCTCCTGGTTGATTAGCAATCCTTCTGCTCTCTGTGTTTCCACTTGAAATTCTGATTTTCATCAAAGATTTCTTCAGTGGGACAGGGGGGCATGCAAGGGAGGGAAATGGGTAGATGAATATGAGCAAAACACAATGATATATACATATATGTATACATACACACGTTTGAAACTTTAAAAATGAAACCCATCATTTCACACACTAAAAAAAATTATAAAAAGGAAGCTTCCATCCATCTAACCTACCTGGATCAATGTTGAAATGATCAAGAAAACCATAAAATGCAGAGCGTTTGCCTTTGCAGTTGCTTGGCATAAATGTCGAATGTAATACCTCCAGAGAAGGAGAAGCTAATTAGTAGCATCACCAAATTGCTTAAATAGTGCTGTAGAAACCTGGGATTGCCACGCTGAATACAGTTGGCCAAGGGAATTGTTTCCAAGGACCACAGAAATTTGGCCATAGCGGCGAAAAGGAAAGGATGGTAGGTAATGGTCACTTGTGAAAGAAGAGAGACTAGGAGTTTCATGTACTTCAGCATTAGGTATTTCTAACCTTTGTTTTTGTCTTATGATGGAAGAAACTCTGTAAGCTAGAAAATACATGGTTTCAAGAAGTGAGAATAAAGTTCATTTCCATTGGAAGGAAGAAAGGGAGAGAGAAAAGGAGAAAAATGTCCTTCGGCATGGAATATAGGATTAATCCATGCTTCACAATAAGGGCTTACCAAATTAGAGGTGATAAGAGGTATAGATATCTGGCCATCATTTAATTAATTAATGATTATGTGAGATTTAGAGATGACTAGCATGTGGAATGAGCAGCAGAAGGTCAGGTCTTACAGTGCTGGGAGAGAGGGGCAAGATGATCCTTAGTATGTCTTTGATAGATTAAGATATTTTACTTAATAACTTCAACAGAAATATTTGTTTATCTAAAAATGATCAGAGAATGACTGAAAGGCCATCCATAAAGCATAAATATAGAGTAAATCATTTTTGTATTGAATTTTTTCCATAAATATTTCTATTTAAGCTACAAAGTATCTTAAAACAATAACATTTTAGTTATGTGGGAATATAAAATTCAGAATAAGAATAGCTGGTTAATTTTTATACTGAGGGGCTTCCTTAGAGGTTTGAGCTA